CCTTAAGGTTTCACCTTATCCCAGTCAGACTGGCTAAGAGCAAGAGAACAAATGATACCAAATGTCGGAGAGAATGTGGAGAAAGGGGAATGCTCATTCGCTGCTGGTGGGCATGCAAACTCGGGCAACCCCTACGGAAAGCAGTGTGGAGAACTCTTAAAAAACTACAAATGAATGACCATTTGACCCAGTTATACCACTTCTTGGTATATACTCAAAGAACTTATCCCATTGCAGAGATGCTTGTACAACCATGTTTGTTGCTGCTCTTTTCACAATAGCTAAAAGATGGAAGCAACCTAAACGTCCCTCAACTCACAAGTGATTAACGAAAATGTGGTACATTTACACAATGGAGTTCTACTCAGCAGTAAAGAAAGATGAAATCATGAAATTTGCAGGTAAATGGATGGATCTAGAAACTGGTATACTAAGTGAAGTAACACAGACAAAGAAAAACAAAAGATGTGGATTCTACCACCAAACCCTTATGAGTATATATCCTGATGTAACTTCAGGAACCAGAAAAATGGAAGGGAACCAGGGAGGTAAAGGGAAAGAAAGAACCCGAGAGAGAATAGTAGGACACAAGTGTTCCTAAAGGAGAAATGAGTAAAAGGGGGGTAGTTAAAGGGGAGAGGGAGGAGGGCTGTACAAGGAACTAGGGGAATAAAGTGGAAGAAGGAGCTCAAGAGATGTGGGACCATAGCAGACAAAAATTATCAAAGGAGAAGTGGAGAATGGGAACACTAAACTGGCAGGGAAAGGAGGAAGAGTAAGACAGGGAGATAAAGAGGAGACAGAAATAGTGCCTACCTAGTATAAAAAAGCAGAGGATCTGGTATTAGTTCAAAAACCTACTGAAAAGTTACACATACTGTATCTCTACATGAGTCCGTGAGTATAGCTGAAGGCTACATAACAAGAAGCAGTGCCAGACAAAAGAAACATTTCAGTTGTTGGCCAGGGTAGTCCAAGAGACTCCGAAAACTACACAGGCTGTTGGCACAGTCTTTGATTACCTCTCAGAACTTGACGGCAAGACCATATTGCTGAAGACAGGACATACTCTGGACACAGGATTTGGAGCAATGGAGCTGGAACCAACCTGGAAGCCACCTCCCCTGAAGGCTAGCTCTTATAGGTCTGGAGAGCACCAGGCAAACTGCTAAGGGAAAACAAAAACTGATGGTTCAACCCCAGCTTAAAGGCCTAAGAATCACAACAATGACCAGCACAGCAAACAACATTGATGCAGTAGTGGCACTTTTATCTTGGGGGTAATCAACAGCTACCTAATTGGATTTAAAGCCTCCTCCTCAATGGGAGGAAACTCATGTGTGGTACTATAAACCTAGCCCAATACACATAGCTGGAGGTCATAGATCTTACAGAAAACTCCACGGCTCTCATATCTCTAGACAAACATAATGTGGATCCTTAAATCTATAGACAAGCATTCCAGTCACCAACATCAAAGAAGCTTCTTTTTCAATAGACAGAGATAGTTATAGAGTTTTACAACTGGTCCACACACCAAGATTTTCTGTGAACTGCCCAAGCCTAAATGGCACATCTAGGATAAAACCTCTACACCTAAGGCTCACAGAACATAGAACAAGGGATGAAGAGAACACTAATGCATCTTTCAATTCTCATCAGTGAAGCTCCCTCATGCAACAGAGGGCCAGTAATGCAAAAGGCCCCAAACGGCCAAACCACAGAGAATAAGAGTCTGCAGAGTGTGGGTCCTTGGACAGGACTCCTATATTAAAATCTACCCATGGCTCAATTATCATTGCAGAAGAGGGGACAGGAAGATTGTAAGAGGCAAGGAGGAGATGCGTGACCATATGAAACTAGTCCTACAGGTTCCAGGGATTCTACTCATATGAACCTACAGCCAACGGAGTCAGTATACACAAGACCCATGCAAATTTAAGCAGACAAAAACCAACATAGAACTGTGGAAATGGACAGCAGGCCCCAATCTTAGTATAAGAATTATTGACAGCTATTATTGCTGGGTGAGGAAAAGCTGATCTTCTTAAAAGGAGAGACTCTAAATAGACTGACTAGATCCTAGTGGAAGAACATGCACTAAGGGATATCCAGGGACACTAATTTTACATGATAGGCCTTAACAAAAATGATAGACAGTATGAACTCCAGTGGGGGCCTATGGGAAGGTGCCAAAAGGGAAGGGGGTATAAAGATGATTTTCTGTATGAAATATACAAAAATTCAATAAAAAAATTTATTAAAAAAATGGAGTATGGAACAGAGTTCTCAAAAGAATAAATTCAAATGACTAATAAATATTTTAAACACCATTCAATATTCTTTACCACTGGAGAAATGCAAGTTAAAAGTCCTATATAATTCTATCTCATCCAAGTCAGAATGCTATTATGAAGAAAATAAATGATAAAAAATGGTAATGAAGTCATGGGAAAAGTAGATCACCTACTCACTGTTGGTGGGAGAGCAAACTGTTACAGCTATTAATGCAAATGAGTGTGGAGGGTTCTCAAAAAGGTAAAATCTGGTCTGCCACATGACCATGGCATATATCCAAGGGAATAAATCACTGACCACAGAAGGCACTTGTTCATCTAGGTCCACTCTCCTTTATTCAAAATAGTCAGGAAATGGAAGTAGTCTAGATGTCCCTCAACTGACAAATGAACAAAGAAAATGCAGTACATATACACAGAGGAATTTTCTTCAGATGAAAAAAAAAAAAATTATAACATTTTCAGGTAAATAGATGGATCTGGAAAGTAAACTAAGTGTGGTAACCCAAGCTTTAGATATGCCCATGTTTTCTCACATATCAGGAGCCTGCTTTGAATTCTTAGACTAGTATGTCTAACTTGGAGAGTCTGTAAATGGAAAGAACTTAAAAACGATCCACTAAAAGAAAAGGAATAAAAAAGAGGCCTTAAACGGGGGAAGAATAGTAGCAAATGAGTTATGAAAGTAGAGGGGGCAATAGCAGGGATGGAAAGGTGTGAGGCTGTATGTGGGAAGGAGAGAAGAAAAGGTGGGGAGAAGGCTAACCACAGTTAGGAAACATGAAAACATTGTAAATCTATTTAAAGATGTAACTTAAAAAATATTGGAACACAGATACCCGGTATGGGTGGATAATTATGGATACATCCCAAAGCCATAAGCAAAAACCCCAGTATGGGATATCTATGTGTTCTGGGTCTGGGAAGGCCCAGAGATCCCTCAAAACAATATAGGCTATTGCCATTTGTTCTTTGTTGCCTGTCAAACTAGATGGTGAGACTCTATTTCTGAACACTCTACATACTTTGGTTGCATAATACAAGAAGCCAAAGTGGAACTAAGCTTGAAGGTCCCTACCTGTTAGCTGTTTCTTGTTTTTTTTTTTTTTTTTTTTTTTAAATAGTTCCAGAATGCACAACACTGGCCTTCAGGGAAGATAAAATTATCAAAGGATTTTACCCAACTATGGACCCAAGAAACTAGAGCAATCATCTGTAGGCAAGGTATGTTCACAGGTGCAATAGTGGCATGATTATAACAATAGTAACCAACTATTTTCTGGTTGGATTTGAGGAGGCCCACTGCACAAGAGGGAATCTACTTCTGATATTGTACAACTAGTGAAGATCTTGTGGCTGAGCGAGGTTATAGGGACTAGGAAGTAACTTACTATTGTTTCACAAGATGCACAGATTGTCACACTGCTTTCTATACTTTGTGTTTATACCCACAGAATGGTGCTGAAGAAAAACATTTTGCAGTGGCAGGGAGTAAATGCAGAGACTCCTAACTGGTTAAAGTATTGAGAGGAATCAGGGACTATTGTGTGCTCAGTCCTAAAAGGAACAGCTATATCACCTCCTTCAAGGCTCAAGGAATATCATGGATGAGGGAGGCAGAAAGAACATCAAGAGGCAGAGTAGGGGGTAGTGCTGTGAAACAGTGTCTTCTCTACATGACACAGCAGTTACTGTCATGAATTCACTGGAGCTGTGGTCTGCTACCTAAGACCTGCACCAGACTGGAACCTTGAACATTCACATGCATGGGAAAGGGGCTCATGAGCCCACCCCACACTGAGGGATCATGGTCATTTGATGATTGCTGGAGGAGGGATTTCATTTTCTTCACTGGTGGTAGCCAAGGATGTTGCCTATGCCCCAGTAAATAATGCTCCACCCATGCTCATGGAAGGAACCATAACTAAACTCATGTGACAGGCACACCACATACACATGCATTTCATGTGTGCGTGCACGTGCACGTGCACACACATACACACACACACACACACACACACACACACAACATCAAAATAGGAGGGGCAGTTATTGGGAAGAAAGGTTTCAATGGGAGAGGGAAGGAAGAGAAAAGAGAGTAAAGGGGAGTGAAAATGGCCACAAATCTTTATATCATGTATTAACTGTCCAAGAATAAGAGAAAAGAAAGTAGACATTTTATTATCCATCCACCTATTTGAAGACTAGTACTGTATCAAATGAACAAAGTCTGGAATTGTCCGATCGGAGTTTTAAGGTACATAGGTTACATAGCATTAGAGAACCAATTTCTGAGTACATCAAATGACAGGTAGAAAAGAAATGTCTAGAGAAACTAAATATGTAATATCCTGATTACAGTTAACATATAAAAAGGACACAATCATTAGTCTATGTCCTTTTGGTTAAATACGTCTTTTTTGATGATGAAAATAATTCAGGCATGATTCCTTGCTGCTAGAAAACAAATTTCAAAATGAAAAAGTCTACAAAAGGGAAATGCATTTCTTAAACACAGACTTCCAAGTTACAAATTAGGATAGAATGCCCCCAAACTCACTCTCTCTCTCTCTCTCTCTCTCTCTCTCTCTCTCTCTCTCGGCATAAAAAAGCTTTATGCATGCAAGCAAGTATTTTTAATATATGCATTCTACAATCTTACAAGAATACAAATTAAATATTTAAACTTTAGCCCACATTTACCTTTGTGCTTTCTTCCATTTCATGTTCAAACATTTCATTAAAAACTGAGGACCGAGCTGGAATAAGAATAAGCCTTGTTACTTAATGTACAAATTTACTTAAAAACATAGTGTATTACCCAAAAGTAGAACGTACCTGCAAGCACAGATTTATGAGCTTTGAATTCTTGTCCTCTCACAAAAAAGCAGCAATCTGCAAATCTTGTGTTTTCCCAGAGATTACCTAAATCTTCTGCTAATCGGCATTCAGGCACCTTCAAGGTATCTATATTAGTAAACCCTGATATATTAATTGAGTCTTGGACCACACTCACCTAATAAAGAAGAGATAGCAAGAAAAGAATCTGTTACACAGTACTATGCATAATTAGTTACTGTATCTATACCTAATTTTTTAATCTTTAAATCTTTTGGATATTATTTTTCAATTTTTTAAATTTTTTCATTTATTACTGATCCTAATGCCAAGAAATATAATTTAAAAATATAAATGAGAGAAATAGCATAAGAAAACTCAGAAATAACCTAGCTCTTTTCTAGTAGTACTATTTTATGTAACGAATTACCAAGTGATTGGAAAGCTCAATAATTAAAATCACAAAATTATTTCTTAACAGTAACCCCATAATATAATGTCAAACTCAAGGAGTTAGCATTTTTGTGAGGTCGAATAAAATTTTTTTTCACTTATACTTCAGGCCTACACATTTCATTTTTATTATACATATAACATTTATAGTATTAAAAGATATAACACCATATAGCATGGGAAAACTGGGAACTCAAAAGTATTGTTCCTACAATTTTCAACTCTAGTAGAATCGATTTAAATATCTTATAAAATTGACTGAAAACTTTAAGCGTAAGAATTCCCACAAAAGCAACTATAATTATTAAAGTTCACAGTAATATCCATGGAAGGATAATGTAGGAAAAAAGTCTGAGCCAGCCCTAGCTGAGGAACTATTGGCAATTGATAGCTGCAGTGAGAGTCAGTTTTCTTTAAGAGTGTCACACCAAGTAGTCTGACTAGGCTCCAGGGAATGGACTTACATCCAAGAGCATTTGGAGAACACAAATTATACATGGTAGGCCTTAAAAAAATAGGCATGAAGTCAAGGTGGGTGAGAAGCAGTAAGGTGGGGCGACTGTGGGAAGGATCAGGATATGATCAAAATGCATTGTATTAAATTCTAAAAGAATCAAAAACATTTTTATAAAAAAGTTCACAGCAATATTTTATGGAAAATCAAAAGTGAAATTAATAAAAATGCAATTTGCTTCAATTTACAGACATTTATCTATGAAATGATCTGTAAAAATTGGGATGATTATGACACTGCATTATGTACACCCCCATGTAACATGGGTCAAATGACCTCCCACTAAAGACCACTACAGAATAAAATTCCGAAACATAACTTTCATATCATTTTTAAGAAATGGTACTCAACTATATTATAGTTCAAAGCAAATGAACAATTTTTTTAAGTTAAATTAACTGTGCCATAATGGTTATATATTATTGTTTTAAAATGTGAAATTTTGGGAGTATTTGGTGTAAAGTAATAACTGAATTTTTTAAATTTTTATTTGTTTTTATTTTATTCATATGAGTGTTTTGCCTGCATGTGTGTATGTGCACCTATGTCCTACAATACCCACAGAGGCCAGAAGTGGGCATCAGATCCTCTGGGACTAGAGTTATAAATGGTTATGAGCTGCCATGTGGGTGCTAGGAACTGAACTCAGGTCCTTTGCAAGAGCAGCCAGTGCTCTTAATTGCTAGTGCCATCTCTCCAGCCCCTGAATTAATTTCTGAAAAGTATAATTTAAAGATATATACTGAGCTTAGGAGATGATTGTGTAAGTATGAGGACCTGAGTTTGATCTCCAGCATCCATATAAAAAAAAAAGAAAACAAAAAATATAACAACAAAACAAAGCAAAAAAACAACTATGGCAGCAAACTTCTATGATCCAAGCACTGAGAAGGCAGAAAGAGGGGGACCCCTGCTGACTAGTCAGCCAAATGGGAGGACGGGGCACTCCAGGTTCAGAGAGAGACCCTTTCACCAAAATGAAAAACACAATACACATAAGACAATAAAGTATGTGGAAAATGAAAATTTGTACTAGATTTATTGAACTAGACTACTAACATGCAAACACACGATCCAGTGTAAAATGTTTGAAAGTCTGATTCACTTATGTACAAACATGTATTTCATGTGTAACTAGTAGATACTTCTGAAGAAAAGTTAGAAAACCTTTAGATTTGCATTAGCTCTGCCCATTCCCCAGCTAACACTAGCCCTTTGAAGCTCTGTGTGGTATATGAATCACTTAATCACATCACCCTGTTTTACAGATTTCAAAGTGGTAGAGAGATAAGGTAGGTAAACAAAGTATGTAAATCATATTGACAGTTTGTATTAGGAAAAGCAATTCTTGAATTTCCATATTCCTAAAGCTCTTCATACTATAATTTCAATGTTTAAAGTTAGTACTGTTACCTTATAATAATTATGATTAAGTACTTACTGCAACAATTTCATGAGATGCTTACCTAAATATGTGAGCCAAGACATTATGTACACAAATAAATCCACTAAGAAAGATTCTCCTATCCTGTCTTTAAACACTGAGATTATCTCTAAAATTCTGATAAACTTCAAAAGAAAAATAAGCCTTCACTAATCTTTACCTAATTGCCCTGTTCCACTATTATAAGCCAATGGCATAAAAACTGAAAGTATTGGCATACTCAGGGTTTAGTTAGGAATAGTATTTTTTAGCATATATTTCATTGCTCCTATTAAGCATGACTTTTGAAATTTTTAGGTAGAAGAATGGGATCTGTTCAATTCTCTACATACATTGTACAGTGGAGTTATAATAGGTGACATTTAATTTAGGAAAGGATTTCTTAAATTCTACGTGTTATCTTAATCTAACTGTGTGTATGGGAGTATAGGTGCACAAATGCAATGGCACACAGGTGGAGATCAGAAGAGAACTTTCAGGACTCAGTTTTCTCCTTCCATATTGTTTCTGAGGCAAGGTCTTTCTTGTAGTTTCTGTACTGCATATCCCAGGAAGCTGGCCCACAACCCACTTCTGTCTGATTCTACTAGCTCCACTTCTCATCTTGTCATAGGAGTGCTGGGATTACAGATATGTGCCATCACATAAAAACCTTATGTAGGTTCCAGGAACTGAACTCAGGTCATCAATCAGGCTTGCACATGGCAAGTGCTTCTATCCACTGAGTTAACTCCCTTGCCCCTAAGACAATACATTCACTTTCAAAAACTTGGCAGAATTCAGGTGATAAATAAAAGGATTAGAAACTATAGGCATCATTAGTCACAGATATTGGTGATGTATACTTTTGTTATGGATAAGCACTCATAATTCAGAAGGATATGCATTCCTAACATCTAGTATTATCACAGCAACCATACATTTGAACTGAGATATAGAAGTAACATTTCACATTGAGACTATTCTAGTGATCGTTAACAGAGAAGAAATTAATGATCTAATGAAAATTGAAAACCATTGATTTCTGATGATTGTTTTCATATCTGTAATTTGAAAATGACAAAAATTTAGTTTCTCTATTACATATTCAAAACAGATAGTGATCAACTTTACTTATGGAACCTAGAGAAAAATTCAGGAAGAAGGCTGAGATTCTTTGCTGATTTAACTCATTTAATAGTTCTTTTACTTAAAAGTGCTTTGGGCTTAACCCTAAGAATATTAATTTAGAATAAAGATGAACATTTGAGGGACCTAACCAACTAAGTAACCTAAAAATCTGGGTCTCCTCTATTGTGGAAATAAGGTAACTACTAGCTCATTTTTTTTTTTTTCTAAAACACTGAGCCTCCCACCAAACAGTATTTAAAAGCTAGGCATTTCTAAATCTGCATAGTTCTACAATGTTGCCACTCAATCACTTACTTAACCCCTACTCATGCTCCAAAGACAGAAACCTGAGTCCAACTTTACATTGTCTCCTAGAAGTAGATGATAAAGAGTTGTTGGCTTTCAAGATGCTATTTAAAAACCTCTGGTGACAGAAACAGAGCAGTTAACTTTTCATTTTCCACAGAAAAGACTTTTCAGAAAATAAAGCCCAACATCCATTCACTACCACAATTATTGTAAACAGGAAAAGCAATATCACATCTTATCTAAAGAAAAATAGGAGAGAAAAAAAAAAAGATGTATCTTTAGGGAAAGTGAATGTAGTTTTATGAAAAGTTCCCTGTATGTTTTGCCTATGCATATACATGTTTTCTGTTTATTAAGGAATGTCATGGATCTATAGACTATCAGGAGTATTTAAAATCTGCTGGGTTTCAAAAGACTAAGCTGTGTTCTATTTCTCCTACTTATTTTCAATCCCTGTTTCTTGCATCATTTTGGAGCAAGGAGGCAGAGCTGTTTATACTGCTAAATATCTTCATCTAACTCTTGCCACTTGAGCCACTACATAGACTGCAAGACTCAGTTACGTCTTGCACAGAAAGGGTAGCACCCATCTGCCTTACCTGTCTACAGCACCACTTGCAGTGGAGGGGGAGGAGGCAGTTCTTTTTTTTGGGGGGGGGGAAGCAGTGCAATGCTTCCTCCTCTTCTGCAAGCAGTGCTGAAGATGCTGTAGAAGGAAGGGCATCCATGAGAGGAATGCAAAGAATGATGGAGGGCACAAAGACTATTATTTAAAAGGACTTTCTGTCCACCTATGCTAAAGATGGTGCCCAAGATATAAATGTCTAGGTTAGCAAAAGGAATCATGTATAAAGATCTAAAAATGGATCAGATCATTACAAACTTGAAAACATTTGTTACGGTGAGATCTATGGGTCACTAGCATGTATAATTTAGTATATAGATACCAAGAAAATTTCAAAAATTCATACATCAAAACCCTAAAATTAATTTCAGCCTTAATTCTGAATTATTGATTGTCTAGGTTCCAGTACAAACACTCAGGAAAATGTCTACTAATAAACTCTACTTCAGTTCTATAGTATGGATTATTTTTAAAAAATATTAATTCATAAAGACTAACCAATTTTCTTTTTGATTTTCATATAGATTAATTAAATAACCTTCAAGGACCATAAAATTCTAAGATGACATTTTAAAAAAACTAACACATACAACTTTAAGGTAATCACGAACATTCCCGAAGTATTGAAGGTGCTAAAACCTTAAACAGCATGGCCTTTATTGATTTAAATTACCTGCCTACTGCAAACCTATATGCTTTAAGTTTCTCCCTCCAAATTTATAAGAAACTCTGCTCAAGAAGTAAATGCTTTGCCAACTAAATAACTATTGGTAACAATTTCATTTACACAAGTGAAAATAAAATGTCTCTGGGGTCATTATTTCAATTATAATACATTATTTTATTATGATACAATACAATGACACACAATTAGTAATCTTGCTGAGACTTTTGATACATTTACTATAAAGAGATTGAAGTTAATTAATTTAAGTTAAGAAAGTTATTTTACTTCTATAATATTTATGCATGTTAACTTGTTACAACGTGTTTAATATTAACTTAAAAAAATATAAACCACTTCAAACATTTCAATAAAATTGTACTGGAAGCAGAAGGTAACCCCTAAATTCACTCCACAAATGAAATCTCAGGCTTTCATATAAATGAAACTATCTAGTGATAAAAATGACAGAAGCAAATCTATACCTCAAATCAATACAGATATACTGTAACTTCAAAATGTTATATTGTTATGACTACACGTTGATCTAAATGCTTGCCAAAATACGTGTACCATCAAAATCTCAGATCTGTTTCTTAGACTATTAATGCTGGTTACATTACTCTAACACCTTAAATGATTAGAAGGCTTCCCAGTGTTTTCCATATGCTTCTGATTCAAACTGATTGAGTGGTAAGGCTGAATCACATTAAACTAAAAGACTGGACACCCATGCCGGGGTGAAGCAAAATGACAAAGATATTTTAAAATGTATACGACAAAGACACACACATCCAGTTTTTTCAAAAGGAAGAAGAGCTTAGGATGTATACAGTTTATAACTAGAGATATTACAAAATATGGGCCACCATATTGAGCTGTAAGATAATTTAATCAGGTTTTTTTGATCAAGAATTTAGAAATTAAACCTTATTAAGTATACCAATTACTTAATTTTAAAACTTTATTATTTTTATTTATGTGTATGAGTGTACTACCTGCATATAAATGCACCCATGTTAGGCAGTGACTGCAGAAGGCACTGGATCCCCTAAAACTGGAGTTCCCGATGGCTGTTAGTCACCATGTAGGTGCTGGGAATCGAACCTGGGTCCTCTGCAATAGTAGGTAGTGCTTTTAACCACTGAGCCATCTCTTCAGCCACTGCAATTACTTAATTCTAAAAGTTTACCCAGTATTAATCCAGTTTAATTTTTGCCATATCACTAAATGTAACCACGGAGTTCTTTATAGTAAAAAAACATACCCACCTCACAAAATAAAGTAAGCTTGTCATCTGGTAAAAGACCATTAGCTTCATCAAGCAAAAAGTCTCTTCTAATGAATTTTTTAAATCCCCAGTCCTTCCCTTGCACAAATCGATATGCTCTTTGGCTTTCTGGTGGAATACAAAGGTTTAAACAAGTATCAATTTTTTTCTTGCTAAAAGAAATATATAAATTAAATATAAGCATGTAGGACTTAGCTAATACATGCATACAAAATTTTTACCTATATGTGTTCATGAATAAGCTATTATAATGAGTCAAGGAAAACCAGATGATTCCCACCCCCCACCCCCCACCCCCTTCCTTGTACACACACAATTGCTGTCCCTAAACACAATAAAAAAAAAAAAATCAAACATACTGACGTAGGCATATTACTCATTATCTAGTATCAAAATCTGTTTATAAACATACATCTTATTTCCTATTTCTCCCCTTTAAAAAAATCCTCTAAAAGAAATCATTAAGAAACCTTTAACTATTCTAGCAAACTCATCCTATTGACTTAATTTGCTGAATTATAGAAAAATCCAAACTGGTGAAAAAGCTAAAATGTCTCTTATCATCCTGAGTGTTTAGACACAATCTTCTCATCCCTAAATAAGCTTTCATATATAAAAGTCCAAAAGATATATTTTAATAAAACTTTTAAGAGACATTAATAAATATCTAAAATAGCACATGTATTGTGGAAAACTGTATACCATGAAACAAACAGGACTGTCAAAAGAAAGCATAATCTATAATATCAGGATGGAAAATAAGTTACTTAACTAAATTATTCTATTTTTTTGAGTCTGGCACCTGAGACCACTCAGCCATCCTGACACCCAATATTCCACTATTTTAAATGTTGAACAACATGTAAAAGAAAATACAAATTACTTCACTTTTCAAAGGTATGTGTGCTACTGTTTCATATTAAAGTTACTTGACTCTGATTCATTTCTAGAAAACATTTAAAATTGAATGTGGCAGTTCATAAGCTTTTTCCACTATACGCACTGCAAAGTTTCTCCAACACTCTTCTTTTATGAAGCGCCAACTAAAGCATTTCGGATACGGTTATGCATGTGGAAACTAGGCACAATTTAATGGGCTCTGGGTACACAAAAAACTGACTTTCTTCCTTTAGTGCCGAGTTCACTGCTCAAAAAATTCTTGCGACAAAATACTGGATCATTCCATCTCTGTACTGTTGTCCCAATTTTATTACATAGTATAAAGGGAGAAGAGAATGTTTTCTTAATTACTTGTACTAGGCATTTTGCTTTAGCAACTATTTTTCCAAATGACAAGTAAAGCAGGACATGAAGCAGTTAAATTTTATCATTATCTTAAATACTCTGTCTTATGAACACTAAAAGTTGTGAAACAACTATAATATGAAATGTAAAATTAATTAATGACCAAAGTAAATGCTTTGAACTAAATGCAGATTTAAGTGGGGGTGGGATCTCAAACTTTTCTAGGTAAAGTTGCTGTATGTAGATAAAGAGGCTTCACTCAGTTTACCAACCACTTACCCATTGCTTTTGTTTCTTCCCTTTTAGCATTCAGAAGAGAAAATTTGAATTTTGCTCGAACCTCACTTTTTGGACAGCTGACTAAAAGTAAATATAAGGACAAGTAGTCTTTACTTTCATCATCTAATCCCTTTGGGTTTACCCTCAGGCACCTAAAATAAAACAATATGTCACTTGGAGGAATTTAACATTTGAAGTATATAGAAAGAGGGGCAGTACTGAAATCATCTCGTTAATATCACAATGGCATTCCTGTAATATCCCCACAGTTCTTTACAATTGTTCACACTATTAAGAATTTATTACTAATTTAACGTAAAATTGTACTACTACCCATTCATCTAGGACCAACAATAAAAACAAATCAGAAGTAGCTGATGATCACATCAAAAACAAAAAACAATCAAAACAAAAAAACACCTTACCATTTCATTTTGTCACTTGGGCCAGAAGAAAATGTTGAACTTTTTAACACTTCACCCATTTCTTCTCGACAGAAACTGAAGTTATTAATGGTCCACATGTAGGAAAATTTTACTACTTTAACCTAAGAGATATACAAAGCCACTTTTCACAACCGTGACTCAATCTTAACGTGTCAAATATCCTATTCTAATCCTCCAATAATGATGCCAAACTGTTTCACAATAATATTCTCAAACGACTAGCAAGCTTCTATGTGACATATAATTCATTTTAAATGGCACATACCTGTGTATAACACCAGCTTTCGGCGACAGGGCTAGTAGACATATCTCTAGGCAAAGGTGGAGTAGGTTCCTGAGACATTGCCAACTTACTGCAGCCTTAGGATTTACACAATATCCCACAGACTTGAGTAATTCAACTATAAGCAAAAAAATTTGATTTACTATCAAAATTTGACAAAATCAGGAAAAACAGTATATTTAAGGTTGTGAAAAATTACTGTTAAAAATCAGATTTTAAAAGAATTGAAATAAAAAACAAAAACATTTTAGAGTGATAAAGTCACAACATATATAAAGTCAAAATTATATAATAAAAAAGCAAGAAAGAAAAAAAGAAATGAAAAAGCAAAGGTAAATGATGTCCAATTATTTTCAAGCATAAAATTTGATGAATGCATGAAGAGTAATAAAAAAGTTTTAAAAAGGGTTTTTTATAATCATAAGACTTTTTGTCTTTTTGAGACAGGGTCTCCTTGTAGCTCCAGCTTTCCTGGTACTGACTATGTAGACCAGGCTCACCTCGAAGTCACAAAGATCCACCTGCCTCTGCCTCCCAAGTGCTGGGATTAAAGGCGTGCACCACCACGCCTGGCTATCATAAGATTTTTTTAAAAATGACTGATTACAGGAATTGTGATTAAAGGAAAAAACAGTAAACACACATAAAAATGAAGAAATAAATAACTGCTGGAAAAGAAATTAGATTTTGAAGGAACCATTTACATGAAGTTTTCAACTAACTTTAGAAATTAAAAAAATGAAACCGTAATCTGCCATATAAAACATGAAAGCTGAATGAATAAGCTTAATATTGATATATAAGGCATTATTTTTCAAGGCATATTTTGTAAAACATCACAAATTAAAAATATCCATGTAGTTAGCTCATCCATGTATCACAGAAACTTAATGACAACAACATCTTATTCATCTTCCTTCACCTCTTCAGGAAAACCAAAGGATTATCAGACATGACCAGAACAAGTGCTAGTCATTTATCTGTCAGATCTCAGATGTTCTCATCAAATATAACAGATTTCCACAAAAACCTACATATAACACAAACAGGCTCTGTCATAATGCTTCCTTCAGAGATGTAATAAATCATAAACTTCCCTTCTCCTCACTTATTCTTGTACTGCATCAATTTGGATACACAATTATCAATTAGGACCCTACTGAACAAGATGATACTCTTCTGCAACTTGAAAAGTTGGAAACAAAGAGCTAGATATATTGTGCTTTGAAGAAGCGATGAGAATTTCTTTTTAATTTAAGAACTGGCAAAGAAAGCAATATAAATCCTATAGGGGGAAGTGTGGGAAAAGAAAAGAAAGGCAGCCAAGATTATTTGCTCTGAAAACAACAGAATAGCATAAAATGAGAAAAGATGGAACTAAGCCACCCTAAAGACATAAATAAAGCCATAAAAGATAGAACAGCATGTAAAACTATGAATGAAAAAACACATTAAAAATCTGCAACAGAGACAGAAATATCAGCCAGGTGTTGTGCAGATCTGTAGCCCCAGGTAGAGTAGGAAGATCACCAGAAGTTCAGGTCAGCCAGGTCTACACAGTGAGATCCTATCTCAAAAAAGTCAAAGAAATGAAAAATAAGAGAGAAGAGAAAGAAGAAGGAAGGGGTAAGAGAGGAGAGTGAGAGAGGGAAGGATGAAGAGAAAGGGGATACAGAACACGGAGAGAAGGGAGAGGGAACCAGGAGGATGAGAAGGATACATTAAACAACAGTGAAAAATATAACTTTAAGGGCTGTAGAGGTGGCTCGATGGTTAAGAACACTGGCTACTCTTTTAGAGGACCCAGGTTTGGTTCCCAGCACCCACATGGTAGCTAAAACTGTCTGTAAACTCCAGTTTCAGAGGATCTGACATCCTCCTCTGATCTCTGTGGGCACTGTACCACACAGGTGCACTTACATACACGCAGGGAATACACTTACACACACAAAATAAAATAAAAGTAGATAGCAAGTGTGCACATTAGAGAAAAGAGCATTTGTCTGAATTCTGGGAAAACAGATTTCTACACACACAAGCATGAAACTTGATAGCTATCTCTCATCCTACTCAACAAAAAAATCAATTTCCAACAGATCAAAGGCCTCAGTATAACACCTAAAACTCCAAAAATCCTACAGGAAAAAGTAGGGAGTACACATCAACATATAGGCATAGGTAAATACTTTCTGAAGAGGACTCAGGTCACTCACGAAATAAGACCAATGATGGAAAAATGAGACCTCATGAAACTAAAGGACTTCTCTACTACAAAGGAAACTGGTCTGTAAAGGAAAATGATTAAAGAGGCAGCCTACAGATTTATAGAAAATCTTTGCCAGCTACATATCTAACAGAGGATTAATACGGTGAATACACGGGAGGAGGTACCTACCAGGAGCCACACCCCTGAAGAAAAAGTGACTCTCCCTCCCCCAAGTAACCAACTACCAATAACTCCTCAGCTGTGTGTAGAGCCTTGCGAGCCCTTCCCCTCTCCATGCTGGAATGCTGATGGGCTTGATTTTGTGTAGGTTTTACTCAGGTAACCACAGGTGCTGTGAGTTCACGAGTACTAAAAAACTAAACACCAAAAAACAACCTTATTAAACAATAGGCTGTGGAACTTAACAGTTTTTGAGTGATGAAATATAAATGGCTGGTTAACATCTTAAAGTGTTCAACATCATGGGGGCTGAAGTGATGTCTTAGTGGTTAAGAACACTGGCTGCTCTTGCAGGAGATCCAGGTTCGAATCCCAGCACCCGCATGGTGGCTATCAACTGTTATTCCAGTTCTAGGGGATCCAAGGGCCTCTTCTGACCTTTGCCAGCACTGCATGACATGAGTGAACTTACATACACACACATACACATAAAAATAAATATGTTTTAAAAAGAAAAGCTTCTTTTTTGCAGTGAGTTGTTGTTAACAGAGACTCAAGAACATGTGGTGGAAAATTTGTTAAGAGCCAGAGGTCCAGAGGACTGCTGCAAAACAGTGTCTTCTGGACATGAGAGGATCACTGTACTCAAGAACTCACAGCACCTGTGGTTACCTGAGTAAGACCTACACAAGATCAAGCCCATCAGCATTCCAGCATGGAGAGGGGAAGGGCTCACAGGGCTCACAAGGCTCAACACATAGCTGAGGAGTTACAGGTAGTTGATGGTTACTTGGGGAGGGAGTCATTTTTCTTCATGGGTGCAGCTTCTGGTAGGTTGCTCATGCTCCAGTGAAAAGCCCTACATCCATTCACACACAGCAGCACTAATTTGACTAAGTGGGTTAAAAAACAAATGAAAAGAAGGACATAAGCTGGAAGTGGGACATGGTAGGGGTGATAAAGCTACACTGTGTACATCTGTGAAATTCTCAAAGTAATAAAAAACAGGGTGGGAGAGATGTTTCAGCAATTATGAGAACTGGCTACTATTGCAGAGGACCTGGGTTTGGTTCCCAGCACCCACAAGGTAGCTAAAAATCACCTGTAACGCCAATCAAAGGAGAATCTGACACTTTCTTCTGTCCTCAACAAGCATTGCACACATGTGGTGAACTTAAATACATTCAGGCAAAACACTCATACACATAAAATAAATATTTAATGCATAAAAAATAGATAAAAAAAAATAAATAAGAGATCTGCATAACTAAGCATTCGTAGTCAAGGTGTGGTCCCAACCATCACTGAGTCTGTCACTTTTGTCTGGGCTCCAGTCCCACAAGGTGTTTTGACAAACCACAAATCTCTTTCCTTAAGTTCCCTGCCAGGCTTCTTTTTTTCCCCCAGCAGGAGATTCCTAGGAGAATTCTAATTCTTTGGCATTCACTGTTTCTACAGAGTAAGGGGGAAGAGGGGGGCTTTTAGAATATTCTCATTCATTCCAGCATTACACAGTGCTAATAGAGAAGCCTGAGCAAGCCTAGCAGTGTTCCTGGAGTTGGAAGGGAAAGCAGAAGCTCACTGTCTTACAAAGGCAGGTGAGACAGGCAGTCCCATGCTTAGGACCAGCCCACAACCCTCAAAAGCCACAAATCCCAGTGATTCCTATGGTGGACAGGTTGTTAAGAGTCCAGGTCTGCAGCGAACCCCCCGCCCCGCCCCGCCCCCCAGTGCAGTAAAGCCTCACAAAACAGACCCCAGGGGGGGCTTTGGAAAACAGGATTTGAGTCAGTTTCAACACAGTCTGTTTCCCCCAGATAAGTTTAGAAGATAAACAGGATGGTACCTGAAAAATATTCTCCCGCCTTCTGCATTTCCTACCCGTACCCCATATAAAAGCCCCCAGCCAGCAGCCTGAAAGCTGGTGGTCTCTCCTCAACCCTGGAGTTGAAAGCAGCCCCTGGCGACTTCCCAATAACCCTTGCTTTTGCTGGAGTCTAAGTGGTGATTTTTCCTGGTTTACCTATCACAGGTATAGTCAGTGAACAGAAATCCCACACTAAGACTCAGGGAGCAGACACTATAAAAACAAAAGCAATTAACAAGAAGAAACAACATACATGTAAGTATGTAAGTAGAGTCAGTGAAGGAAAAGAAGTGTTGGAATAGATAAACAGCTGGCATTTTTCTCAAATTAGCCAAGAAAACAGTAACATAATGCTTTGATGGGCTTAAGTAGAGAATTAAAATGTGTGTCACATGCAATGCAAAAGGTAGTGAGATGAATGGAGTAAAATGTGTTGTATTCTATATTCTCACATTCCTGGAAAAATAATACTTACTATAGCACCTTTAACAATTCCACTTGATAATCACTAAAAGAAAAGACACCATAGCTAAAAATGTAGTAAGCATAAAAAGAGAAAAGAAAAAAATGATAAAAATGCAAATATACCATTTCATTTACAGGTTAACAGGCTAAATACTCCAATTATCAGACTAGTCTAAATAAATGAATTCCCTGTCACATAGCAACTAATTACAATGTCTGATCTTACAACTGAAAAAGGCTAGACCCACCTGACAAGAAACACACCTTTAATTCCAGGACACTGGAAGTAGAGGAAGGATGATTAGAAGCACAAGGCCAGCCTTAAGTACAAAGCTTCAAGGGTAGCCTGGGATATATAGACTCTGAGGGGGAAAGAGAGAGGAGGAGAATGAAAAAAAGA